AACCGCCAAGAAATGCCCAAACCATTAGAAATATTTTGATTTCTTTGAGTATATGTTGTAATGAATTGATTTTGTTTTGCGAGAATTGTTTGCCAAATATTCGCTCACTTTCCCCAATGTAAATCTCGACCAATGGTTTCAATACATCGTCCGGTTGTGGCAAACCTTCAACTGATGTGAAATCAAATGTTTTTCGTCCCCATTCTGTGGAGAGGGAAATAAAATCCATGCCTCGGAAGCCGTAACTCGAGTATTCAAAATCGCAAACAACAATCCGGTCGTCAGTATTGTTGTTGTTTTCAGTGATCATTAAATTACTCGATCGAAAGTCGTTATGAGTGAACACAATAGGACTTCCAGTATTTGCGACCACTTGTTTAATGTAATCGATGTCTGCTTTGTAATCGCATTTCTCCATCAATTGACAATTATATTCCTTAAACCACTCTCTGATCGGTATATTTCCATTGAACATAAATTCGTACGACTCGTCCATCTCTGCAAACAACCAATTGGTGTGTCTTTTGATGGGAACGTCCATCGCGTGAATGCGGGCCAACTTCTGGAACACTTCTGTCACTAGTTTGGGGTCTTTTTGCTCTTCAATTTTGAATTGTCGGTGCTTTTGGAGTAAAATCATATTTTTTATTTAACGTCATTTAAATTGTTTTTTAGTAAATTGTAAAAATAACATACATGGTAATAGTGTTGTATTTGCCCATTCTCAAATAAGCCGTATATTTTTGGACCCAATTTGTTTTCCGACACCATTAACGATATGATAGTATCGGGAAGTCTTTCATTTCCATCAAGAGTTGCTGTATTAAAATATTTGGATCCATAGAGTCTTACGGCTACTTCTTGTGGTACATCTGATCCAATGACGGGTTTATTAATTCCGCAATAATAGAGCTGATTAGTGAGTCCTCCGGTGACTCTCTTTACTTCAATGGTGTCGAGTGTTTGTTGAGACCAATTGCCGGACAAATACTCTTTACACAGATTAAGACACGTTTGTTTGATGTCTTCGGGAGTGTCACCCATAACGAGGTCTAATTGATTGAAATCCAATTGATCTAAAGAATCGACGTCTTCTATTCGCTTCAGACCATTGCTTGTCTCAGTAGAAACCTCTACATTGTTTACCGAAGACATGATTTGATTTGATATATAGTGAAAAACTTCTAATATTCAAAAGTCTAATATTGATTGCAATTTTGTATTCTCAAAACGTCTCTATTTATACTTTGTTGAAAAGTACTAAACCTTGATATAACCCATTATGTTGCTAAATGTGTAGATAATTACTGTATAATGTTTGTGATATTATAAGTAAATGTATTGTTAATAAATATTGAATTCTTGTTCACTGCCCACAAATCCTAAGGTCTTTGTGCACTAAACAAGTTTACAAATATTAGAATATTTTAGTGCATTTCGTTCACAATTCTTATATCTCTTATATATTAATTTCGACTCAAATATAATTATAAAATTAATTACTTATTATTAAAACTTTATATTAATTTGATAAAACTTTTTTTTATTGTTGTAATATTGAGACTAATAATATGTTATTAACTAAACATGTATAGTTAATTTATAGCTTGTTATTTAAACCATTATTAATAAGGGGTGATTCACATATTACGTTTACATTGCATAATAACATTAGTGTAATTTAAAATATCATTAAATGCCGTTAAAAGTCTTATTACAATCATATAATATAATATAAATTTTTTACTTAAGTCTTGATTTCAATTTAAAAATCATTAGTAATAAATCTTACAATTGCTAGTAAAAAACTCTCACATTTTGCATTTAAATCTTTAATCGTGTCATTGATTCTGTAACTGTAAAATTGCTTTTAGAATTATTAATGCTTTCAATTAATGTAATTATCAATATTTTTATTTTAGAATTTTATTCGTAGATTATATAGATGATTTAACATAAGTTTAACATAATTATTTGACATAATCTATTTATGTATTACAAATAGATTTTTAAAATTTAAAGTGAATTTTAATAGTTATATGATATTTGTGATTGATCACTTTAAAATTATTCAATTAATTTCATATCCTTTAACCGTTGTTTGATTATTAAATAATTTTTGAAAGAATTTTCCATCATTTCCTGCAAATAAATAACATAATTAATACCAGATAAACAAAATATATGGAATATTCAACAAGGTCCAAACTAATAATAAATTCATACCATGATAACTTTTTTGGTGAATGACTTTTTATTGAGATTTTTAATCATAACACAACCGCCGAGAAAATTCCAAACCATTAAACATACTTTGATTTCTTTGAGTATATGTTGTAATGAATTGATTTTGTTTTGCGAGAATTGTTTGCCAAATATTCGCTCACTTTCTTTGATATAAATCTCGACCAATGGTTTCAATACATCGTCCGGTTGTGGCAAACCTTCAACTGAAAAGTAATCGAATGCTTTTCGCCCCCATTCCACAGATAAAGTCACAAAATCCAGGCCTCGGTAGCCATAACTCGAGTATTCAAAATCGCAAACAACAATCCGGTCGTCAGTATTGTTGTTGTTTTCAGTGATCATTAAATTACTCGATCGGTAGTCGTTATGAGCGAACACAATAGGACTCTCAAGCTTTGCCATAACATCTTTAATGTAAGCGATTTCTGCTTTGAAATCACATTTCGCTGATATTTGACAGTTATATTCAGTAAACCATTGTCTGATAGGAATATTTCCCTCAAACATGAATTGGTACGAGTCTTCAAACTCTGCATATAACCAATTGGTGTGTCTTTTGATGGGAACGTCCATCGCGTGAATGCGGGCCAACTTCTGGAACACTTCTGTCACTAGTTTGGAGTCTTTTTGCTCTTCGGGTTGGAATTGTCGGTGCTTTTGGAGTAAAGTTTGTTATATATTTATTATAATCTTATAAATAATTATAAAAATAGCATACATGGTAATAGTGTTGTATTTGCCCTTTCTCAAATAAGCCGTATATTTTAGGTCCCAATTTGTTTTCCGACACCATTGACGATATGATAGTATCGTTAAGTCTATCATTTCCATCGAGGGTTACTGTATTAAAAAATTTGGATCCATAGAGTCTTACGGCCACTTCTTGTGGTACATCTGATCCAATGACAGGTTTATTAATTCCGCAATAATAGAGTTGATTAGTGAGTCCTCCCGACACTCTCTTCACTTCAATGGTGTCGAGTGTTTGTTGAGACCAATTGCCGGACAAATACTCTTTACAAAGACTAAGACACGTTTGTTTGATGTCTTCGGGAGTGTCACCCATAACCATATCTAATTGATTGAAATCCAATTGATCCAAGGAATCGACGTCTTCTATTCGCTTGCGACCATTGCTCGTCTCATTAGAAACCTCAGTATTTACTGAAGACATGATTTAATTTATAATCAAAAGCGTTTTGTAACGACTATTAACTTTAGTATTGGCTGTGATTTTGTGTTTAGAAGACTATAACTTTATATACTTATTTGAAATGTACTAAAACCTTGATATAACCCATAATTAATGTTCGTCATTATTTGAAAACTCCTAAAATTCCCATGTTGCCGGGACGGAATTTATAGGAAAACTTCGGAAAATAAAAAATACATCAGGGAAATGATTAACAAGGGGAAAATATTTTAAATAATTTTGATTATTTTAAACATTATTATGGATAAATTGTTTGAAAAGTATAAAAATTTTTAAAAATAATTTTATTTAAAACAGTACTCAATTAGTTTTATAATGTATTTGGTGTATAACAAAGAATTGCTTGTCACTCACACAGCATTACCTTATTATTTGAGCGCAATTATTAAATTTTGATTAAAAAATAATTTAAAAATGATTCAAATTAAATTAATTAAATAGATTTTACTTAATATTCTTCTCGATTATGTTTAAGCATGTTAGGGCACATGTAATAAATATGATAAAAGTATTTATATATCTCGATTGGTCATCGTTTGACCACATTTTTGTCTTATTTTCCCAATTTTAAGGAATATAAAGAATTTTCCGGCGCAAAACTATTTTCCTGGAAGATAGTTTTCAAAAATGGGAAATGACGAACAATACCCATAATGTTGTGAAATGTTTAGATAATTATAATATCTATAACATGATAAGTAAATGATTTGTTACTTCCTATTTAACAATAGTTCAATCTGCCCTAGGTGCACTTAAAATGTGATTACGGACTTAAAAGTGTTAGATTATAGTTCAGTTCATATTATCGTAGAAGATAACATAAATTGTTAAGATTTATTAAGATTATTAAGATTTATTTATTAAGAAAATAATTATCGAAGTACACAAAAAGTACACAAAATGTATTATTTATACAATTATTAATTAAAATTTTAAATGTTATTTCTTTAAATAACATAGATATTAATATATTATATTAATTTGATAAAACTTTTTAATTGTCGTAATATTAAAACTAATAATATGTTATTAACTTTGGGTGCTTTTTACATATACCATTATTAAACAAATAACAATTATACATGTATAACATTTTCTTATTATCATGTGCTTATTGTTTTATCGCTGATTTGTTGGCTTATTCAAATTTAATTATATTGATAAATTAATTTAATGTACGATATGTTTATTGCATAATAAAACTTAGAGTTTAATCACAACTTATTTAAACAAGAATTATACAAATCATAAAACAATAAAAAATTACAATTTGATTAAAAGAATCATAGGATATACATGTGGTTTGTGTCTCAGATAAGTGTCGTTAAAGTAATTAAAAATATTATTAAATGCGGTTAAAAGTCTAATTTAAATCATATTATATTTTATAATTTTGTTTACTTAAGTCTTGATTTCACTTTAAAATAATTCGTTAAATAAATCATTATTAATAAAGATTGATAAAAATGCCAATAAATAAAATATTCATAAGAATATATACAGTATTAATCAAAAACGTTTTGTTCAATAAATGATTTCTTTATTCGCCAATAATTTTTGTATTCTTTTTCTCCCAATTCCTGTGAGAAAGAAGTAGAAAATAATATAAAATATTTATATATAAATAAATAGCATGTTATTTCTCAAGGATTATATTTTTCTTTTTTAAATCTCTCTCTCTCTCTCTCTCTCTCTCTCTCTCTCTCTCTCTAAAAATGTATAAAAATGTTTACAGACCATTATTAAATCTTTACTCATTGGGAGGTCTTTATTATTTTCATCCATTTTAAGAAAAAACACAAACATAAATATTTTATACACCAAAGCAAACACTTTGGCTTCTTTGATGAGTTGATCCATTGAATTGATCTCATTATCGGACCAACTCTTACCGAAAATGAGTTCATTTTCTGAAATATAATATTGAAGTAATCGCCTGATTGTCGAGTCGTCCGCAAACTGATGGACGGATTGGAAGTCATTCCATAGTCGGCCCCATTCGTTGACTACTGTCCCTAAATCCAGTCCTCTGTACCCATAACTCGAGTACTCAAAGTCACAGATAACCAACTGATCGCCGGAATCGCTCTTTTCATTCAACACCAGTATATTAGAGCTCAAGAGATCGTTGTGTGAGAACGCGAGCGGACTCTTGAGCTTTAGGACAGTGTTTTTAAGCCATTCAATCTCAGTCTTCAAATCGTGAGCTTTAAGTGTTTCCAGATTTAAATCTGAGGCCAATTTGTCGACTGAGAAGCGCTTCTCTGCCTCCGCGTATTGCATATCAATCTCTCGGAGAATCCACTCTCCCTTCCGAAGAGGCACTTCCATGGCGTGGATTCGAGCCATCTTTCGGAACAACTCTTCGGCCAGTTTTGCGTTATTTTGCTCCTCGAGTTTGAACTGTCGGTGCTTTAGATTAAATAAAGTATATATTTATAAATTTATAGGTAAGCATTAATTTATGTATGTACATTAATTTTAAAAACAATTCAATACGTGGTAATAGTGTTGAATTTGTCCGCAATCGAAGAGTCCGTATATTTTAATCCCTAATTTATTCTCCGAGAGAAGAAGAGATGTGATCACATCACTCAACCGTTCACTTCTCATATCAGTTAGCCTTTCATTCCCTTCGGAATTCAAATTGTTATACCATTTGCTTCCGTATAATCTTATGGCCACTTCTTGAGGGGCAGTCGACTCGATGGACGGCGAAGTGATTCCGCAATAATATAATTGATTACTTAAACCGCCGGTAATTCTTCGCACAGAAATCGTGTCCACTGTTTGTTGTCTCCAATTGNCGGCGAAGTGATTCCGCAATAATATAATTGATTACTTAAACCGCCGGTAATTCTTCGCACAGAAATCGTGTCCACTGTTTGTTGTCTCCAATTGTCTGACAAATACTCTTTGCATAACTCAAGACATTTTTCTTTGATATCTGGAGGCGTTTCTCCTCTAATGAGTTCCACTTTTTCAAAATCGTATTCTTCGCCGGCTTTCAGATCCTTAATACTTATGGATTGACTGCCGTTTGACTCCATGTTTGTGGTGTTGAACACTATTTTCAAACTACAAACTAATTACTGATTTAAAGTCTGCGATAAAACGAAAGTATGATAACATTTTCAAGGATAAGAGCTAACAATCCTAATGAACATAACGTTTATCATTAATACAAACACAAATATTATTGTTGTACTTTTGTCTGTCCTGTTGGAAGGTATAAATTATTTATTTCATACCTGTTTACAGTATAATACTGTATATTAATGATTATCTGTAAGTAAATAGCATTTTCTTAACATTTAGTGATAGAATGTTTGCAATTACTTGCATTTATAAATATAAATTTTGTTTTGTTTTACGAATAATTATGTTTTATTAGTTAATAAATAATCTGCAAAATAATTATCATATAAATAATAAACAATGAAAGGCAAATAAACATGTAATAAAAAAAGTACTTTTATGTTCATATTTCTGCTAAAATTATTGCTATAACTTATAGCCTATAAATAAATTAACTGAAACTTTCGCTTTAAAACATATTTAATACAAACGAATATTTATAATTCATTTTATTAAAAATTAAATTTTATAATAAATCTTCAAAAACTTTTTGCGCCAATAATTGATTTCTGAGATGAATATAATTTCTCTGCGAAATTTCGCCGATTTTCTGTGGAAATTATAATTTCAAAAATTAATGAAAAGTAAATTAATTATAAATGATGTGAAGACTGACCGCAATAACTGTTTTATCCATCGGAAGGAAGTCTCCGCCCTCTTCGCTGTCTTTCAGGCAAAATAATGTCATCAAAAGTGAAGTAAAAAGTGTGAAAATCTTCGCCTCCTTTAGGATCTGTTCCTTTGAATTGATCTCATTATCGGAATATTGTTTACCGAATATTCGTTCGGATTCTCGGATATAGCTCTCAATGAGTGGCAAAATTGTCGAGTCGTCCGGAAATACGGGTAGCGTTTGAAAGTCACTCAGCGATCGGTTCCACTCGACTATAATTGAGCCAAAATCCTGTCCCCGATAGCCGTAACCCGAGTCCTCAAAATCGCACAATACTATAGAATCGGCGGCTATTCTCGACTGCAATACCATTGTATTACCGCCTCTAAAGTCGTTATGAGTGAAAACTATGGGACTCTTGGACTTAAGGATCAATTGTTTGACAAAATCTATTTCCACTTTGAGGTCGTATTTCTTGAGTGTTTCCAGATTTAATTCATCCAAAAGGTTATTCTTATCTATATTTCTTCGCACCGATTCATACCACACGTCGATATCTCTTAAGCAAATAGTCTTCGCGATGGGCACATCCATGGCGTGCACTCGAGCTAACATTGAGAACAATTCTGTTACCAATTTAGGGTCCTTTTGCTCATCCTTTTCAAAATGCCGGTGCTTTTAATACAAGTGTAATAAATTAGATATAATTTTACAACATATAATTAATCAATTAATTAATAATCATTACATTATAATAAGCCTGAATTTGTCCGCCATTGAAAAATCCATATATTTTAGGTCCCAATCGGTTATCGGACACCAATTGTCCGACCACTACATCATTTAGTCTCGCATTGGCTTTACTTTCGTCATTACTGAAGTGTTTGCGTCCATACAATCTGATGGCCACCTCTTGAGGAACACTTCCCGGGAATTCTAGTGGACTTTTAATACCGCAGTAATACATCTGATTAGTCATTCCTCCGGATATCCTCTGCACTCGTATAGTGTCCACAGTTTGTTGACTCCACGGACCGGACAAATAGTCTTTGCATAACTGAAGGCATTTCTCTTGAATATCTGCGGGCGTCTCACCTCTGGTGATGTCTATTTGGCCGAAGTCTATGTCATCGACTGATTTCAAGTCTTTGAGACTTTGTTTGGCATTCATTTTAGTGTCACAATTATCTGACATGTCTTCAGTTTTCTTGTGATTGTTTCATATGATGTACAAATACTTTATTATTAAAAGTTTAAATATTTGTATAAAATAAACTCGTGGCAAATAAATTTTACTTTAGTTTTATACACAATAGATAACAGTATTCAGTGATTTGTATGCTTTTATCAACATATTATACAAATCAAGGTTTCCTTTAAATACTGTACGTTAAAACAGGTAATCATTGTTTTGTAATATTATTTAACGTTAATATAACGTAATGAAAGGAATGTAAACTTTCTTATCATTTATTAATTTGATAGTAGATTTATATAGAAATTTAATTTAAAAAGAAAATTAATTAAAAAGTTATATACATTTTTAGTCTAAATTAAATGCTTATAATAAGAATGTTAACTTAAATAATGATACAATTTTAGTAATTCGAGCTGCACTAGAAGACACTTATTTATCATTTGAGTCAATAGTATATTATTTATACAATATTAATTAAAATTTTAAATGTTATGTTTTAAATAATATTAATTTATTATATTAATCTAATAAAACTTTTTAATTGTGGTAATATTGAAACTAATAATATGTAATTAACTTTTGGTGCTTTTTACTTATACTATTATTTGATAAATAACACAAATTATTTAAACATAAAGATTATACAAAATGTTTATATTAGTCAAAAACATTTTGTTCAATAAATGATTTCTTTATTCGCCAATAATTTTTGTATTCTTTTTCTCTCAATTCCTATGAGAAAGAAGTAAAAAATAATATAAAATACATAAATAAATAATGTTATTTCATAAGGATTTTCTTTTCCTTATTTTAAGTCTCTCTCTCTCTCTCTCTCTCTCTCTCTCTCTCTCTAAAAATGTATAANTTCATAAGGATTTTCTTTTCCTTATTTTAAGTCTCTCTCTCTCTCTCTCTCTCTCTCTCTCTCTCTCTCTCTCTCTCTCAAAAATTATAAAGAATTATACAAACCATTATTAAATCTTTACTCATTGGGATATCTTTATCATTTTCATCCATTTTAAGAAAAACCAAAAACATATCTATTTTATACACCAAAGCAAACACTTTGGCCTCTTTGATGAGTTGATCCATTGAATTGATCTCATTATCGGACCAACTCTTGCCAAAAATGAGTTCATTTTCCTGAATATAATATTGAAGTAATCGTCTGATTGTCGAGTCGTCCGCAAACTGGTGGTCGAAATGGAAGTCATTCCATAGTCGGCCCCATTCGTTGACAACTGTTCCCAAATCCAGTCCTCTGTACCCATAACTCGAGTACTCAAAGTCACAAATAACTAACTGATCGTCGGAATCGCTCTTTTCATTCAACACAAGTATATTAGAGCTCAAGAGATCGTTGTGTGAGAAAGCGATCGGACTCTTGAGCTTTAGGACAGTGTTTTTAAGCCATTCTATCTCTGTCTTCAGATCGTGAGTTTCAAGTGTTTCCGAATTGAAATCTGCGGCCAATTTGTCGATTGAAAACCGCTTCTCCGCCTCCGCGAACTGCACATCAATCTCTCGCAGAATCCACTCTCCCTTCCGAAGAGGCACTTCCATGGCGTGGATTCGAGCCATCTTTTGGAACAACTCTTCGGCCAATTTTGCATTATTTTGCTCCTCGAGTTTGAACTGTCGGTGCTTTAGATTAAATATAGATTTATTAATTAATGGGTATATATTAACAATTATAAAAACAATTCAATACGTGGTAATAATGTTGAATCTGTCCGCAGTCGAAGAGTCCGTATATTTTTATCCCTAATTTATTCTCCAGAGAGAAGAAGAGATGTGATCACATCACTCAACCGTTCACTTCTCATATCAGTTAGCCTTTCATTCCCTTCGGAAATCAAATTGTTGTACCATTTTTTCCGTTTGCTTCCATACAATCTTATGGCCACTTCTTGAGGAGCAGTTGACTCGATGGACGGCGAAGTGATTCCGCAGTAATATAATTGATTAGTCATTCCGCCAGTAATTCTTCGCACAGAAATCGTGTCCACTGTTTGTTGTCTCCAATTGTCTGACAAATACTCTTTGCATAACTCAAGACATTTTAGTTCAATATCTGGAGGCGTTTCTCCTCTAATGAGTTTCACTTTTTCAAAATCGTATTCTTCGCCGGCTTTCAGATCCTTAATACTTATGGTTTGACTGCCGTTTGACTCCATGTTTGTTGTGTTGAACACTATTTTCAAATTACACACCAATTACTGATTTAAAGTCTGATAACATTTTCAAGGAAAAGAGCGCTAACAATCTTAATGAACAAAACGTTTATCATTAATACCAACACTAATGTTGTTATTGTACTTCTGTCTGCCCTGTTATAAGGTGTAAATGAATTATTTCATACCTGTATAAAATTTAATATACAGTAATATGTATTAATTATTTATATTATAAGTATATATTAAGTATAATATACGTATTATTTAACTTTAATATATCGTAATAAAAGGAATGCAAACTTTCTTATCTTTTATTAATTTTACTCCTTTACCTAACTGAAAATAACCTTGCCCATACTTGTACATTTAACATATCTAACATGTCATCAAGCTTATGTTATTCTATGTCTAATAGAAATTTTATTTAAATTCTATCTATGTACAATACAATAGAGTAGTAATTAATTATTTTTAAATAGTATTTTTATGAAATTAATTAATCTAGTTTTACAGTAGATTCAATTAAAACTGCTTTAAAATTAAAATTTATTGAATAACACAAGAAGTTTTATATGATATCAATATTATTAATAATAATTTATTATAATTAAGATAATTTTCCACAAATATTTATTCAATTAAAGTGTTTGTGATTTATAAATACTATTGAACTTCAAATTATGTTTAATAAACTAAATTAAACATAAAATCATGTTTTTAAAAATAATTTTGTGTGAAAATTGCATTAAAAATTGCATCAAAAAATTGAATAGACATAAACATATTTATAAAATTCATTTTTAGTAATCGCAACATGTGCAAAAATTTATAAGTGTTTTAAAAGTGTAGATCAATTTTTAGTACATTTTAGAACAAATCCGAAGGATGTAAACTTGAAATGATTGCATAAAATCAGTGTTTTGTCACTAAATTTGGTCACATTTTTCGTTTCACTCTTACATCGAGTGAACACAACATGTGTTTTCAATTAGATTTTATGACAACTTTGTAATCATTAAATAAGACATCAATTAAGATAATTATAATCAATAACTTTGCACTTCGTTTGAATTGCGTTATTATTTGTGCGGAAAACTAATGAAAGTATTAATTTTGAACTAAATCTTAACACCGAATAACAATCTATTATTATATTAAACGATAATTGATTTGCACCTAAAATATGCCGCTCCTGTCATCATATCTATGATTTTCATAGCATTTGATCGCACAATAAGTTTACAATTCAATTCAATTCACGCAATGCCGAATTAATTATGTAAACAAACATGATTAAAATCAGTTAACATCAAGTACAACTCGTTCAGCATGCACCTTGCACAATCGGCCAACGGGCGGCCTTCAAAAGACCATCGGCTGATTATTTCAGATCTATATAAATATTATAAAATCCTATTTTAAAGTCAATTATAAAGTTTTTAGTGAATCTCAAGAATTGGCAAAATGTAAAAACATTTTTGTAAAAATTATAATAAAATAAATTTTTATATTAATACTCGTTGTTTTCATTTAATATTAATTTCATTATTTAAAATTCATTTAATATTTAAAATTAATAATATTTAAAGTCAAAAACAATGTCTGAAACTTTCGGAGCAGTCGATTATATAATATTAGTAGGAATGCTAATGATATCGACTATAATAGGCTTTTATTACGCGTGGAAAGACCGCAATAATAAGGACGAAAATGAGTTTCTCAGAGGGTATGCAAAAAAACAATGTAATTATTTAATAGTTATCTAAATGTCAATCCCAATAACAGAGGTAATAAGATGTCAGTGGCACCCGTATGCATCTCAATACTGGCCAGTTTCCTGTCCAGCACCGGCCTAATAGGCATTCCCACAGTCGTGTACTTCACGGGCACTCAGTTCTGGATTGTAGTGATCCCGGCATTCCTGGCGGCCACTCTCGCCTGCGAAGTATTCATTCCCATCTATTATCGCATGAAATTGGTTTCAGTCAATGAATACATTTACCGCCGCTTCTCATCGCAAAAACTTCGCGTCGCCGCCAATATATCGGTTTTGTTGGCTCTCGTAAGTCAAATGCAAATCAAATGAGTGTTTAGTTTTGTCTAATAATTGTTTTCTTCTACTTTAGATCCCTTTCTTTGGCGTCGAATTGTAAGAATAATTCAATTATTAATTAATACAATTATTGTTGACTTTTGAGCTCATATTTAATGCCATTTGCTTTTGTCCACAGATACGCGCCGTCAATCGCGCTGTCAATTGTGACCGAGATGTCCATCACATCCAGTATATTAATTATGGGTCTCATTGTAACCGTCTATACGTCACTCGGCGGTCTAAAGGGTGTCATTTGGACCGACTTTTTTCAATTCGCTATAATGTTGTTCGGACTCTTGGCTGTTGTCGTTAGGGTATGTCTTATTTGAGGCCATTTTTCCCATCAAATGTTAATTAATGTATTTGTTTAGGGGGCGAATGTGTCCGGAGGTATAGCCGCGGCCTTTGACAGGGCGTATATCGGCGGACGAATCGAGTTTTGGAAGTAATTATCAATAATACAATTTATAATGTTTTCATCTAAACTAACCCCTGTTTTACCCGTCAATTAGTATGGATTTTAACATATACTCGAGTAACTCGTTTTGGGTGATGTTCTTCGGCTTCACAGTGTTGTGGTGCGGAACTCTCAGCACAAGTCAACTACAAGTGCAGCGGTCGGTGTGTATGCCGTCGTTGAGTGCCGCCAAAAAGGCCCTATATTTCGCAATTCCCGGGTTTATGACAATGATATCGCTGTCGGCCGTTATGGGAGTCCTGATGTACGCTCACTATTACGACTGCGACCCTATGCTCACCGAACGGGTCACCAGACCTGACCAATTGGTCCCGTACTTCGTGCTCGACATCTTCAGCGACAGTTACCCGGGAATGACCGGCGTATTCGTGGCCTGTATTTTCGGCAGCTCTCTGTCCACACTATCGTCGGGTCTGAACGCCATGTCGTCAATCATTTACGACGATTACGGCAAACGATTTGTGCCGAAAAGGTATGCGGTTTACGCGACCAAAATGTTGGCCGTCTTGATAGGCGTGCTCTCCATTGCGTTGGCGTTTGTCATGAAAGAGATGAAGAGTATCCTCGAGTGCACAATCATGCTCTACGGCGCGTCCAACGGACCCATGTTTGGCCTGTTTTGTTTGGGTCTGTTCTTCCCATGGTCAAACGCCTGGGGCGGCGGCTTCGGACTCATTGTGGGTCAAGTGTTTTGCCTCTGGATTACTGTGGGCTCTGTTGTCGACAAAAGGACTGATTTCCTGTCGATGGGTCTGCCCTCGAGTACTGAAGGCTGTTACGCCCAAAACATCACGGTCAATTACCCCGGCACTAATCTCACCGAGCTCACTCATTATAAAACTCCCCAATACTATCCCGAAGGTAATTTTATTTGATTTAATTCATTTAATTTAAATTGTTTGAGGATTTACTTTTTTCAATTCATTGATTGTTTGTGTGTTTTATTCAGGTATTCATTTGATTCATCACATGAGCCCATACTTTGTGCCGACAATTGGTTTCATAATAACACTGATTGTGGGAAATATCGTTAGTTTACTGACCAAAGGAAATAAAGACAATAAAGTGGACCCAAATCTGGTTCACATCGATGTTTGCCGAGTGTTTGAAAAAATTCTTCCTCAGAGTTGGCGTCGGTTTGAGACACAAACGGATGAAAAACCGAAAATAAACGGTCAGTTCAATGATATAGTGTTGACCTCAGAGACCATCAGTCCGTCTGTTAATAATAATCAATCGAAGAATACTTTTGTTTAAATGTAATTTATTTTTCTTGTAAATTATTTTTGTTTTAAATGAAACTTTATGAACGCATGTCTTTTATTGTCAATAACATGGTAATGTTAATATTCATAGACACACATGATTTATCAAATAAATGTCAGTTTGAATTAACAGTTAATACTTGTTTAACATTTTGCGATTTTTAAAAAGGTATTCATTTCTTTGTATTAATTGGAAGTTTATTTTCATTACCATAATTGGTTATAATAAACATTATTATAATTATAAATTAATTATTACATATATAATAATAACTTTAATTAATCAAATATTAAATCATTTTTAAATTGATTCTTTAATTGATAGTAATTCTTGAATTGATTTTCAGCTAATTCCTAGAATATATAAATAATTTCATAATAAGCATAATTTTATAATTTTCATCAGTTCTTATAATTCTAGTAAATATATTGCATTGTACAAATTAAAATTATTAAAATAATACAAACCATTAATTGTTGTTTAGTCATTGGAAAACTGTCTAATACTTCATCAGTTTTCAAACAAAACAAAAGTGTAAACATTTTATACGCCAACGAAAATACTTTTGTTTCTCTCAAGAGTTGATCCATTGAATTGTTCACATTTTGAGACCAACTTTTGCCAAAAATTCTCTCATTTTCATGAATATAATATTGAAGTAATTGTTTGACAACAAAGTCATTGATAAATGTTTGTTCGTAGAAGAGTTGGTTTGCATCTCTACCCCATTCGCCGATAACTGATCCCAAATCATATCCTCTTTGACCATAACTCGAGTATTCATAATCAATGACAAGCAACTGATCCCCAGAATCAGTCTCTTTGTTTAAGACCATTATATTATGGCTCAAAAAATCGTTGTGCGAGAAGACTATCGGACTTTTGGTTTTAGTAATCAAATTATTTAGCCATTGAATCTCATTCTTCAAGTTATTTTCCTTTAATGATTTGCAATTGTATTTATCAATCAATTCATTGATTGGGAACCGTTTGAACGCTTCCTTATAATGAAGATTATATTCTTCAAGAATCCACTCTTTCTTAGGAAGAGGCGTTTCTATGGCGTGGATTCGAGCGATCTTTCGGAACAGTTCCTCCGCAAACTTTGAATTACTTTGATCTTCGAGGTTAATGTTTCTCATCTAGGTATTGTAAAATTTATATATTTACTTTAAATTTGTGAAATATACTATCGTTTAAATACATGATAAAAGTGTTGAATCTGTCCGCCATCGAAGAGTCCGTATATTTTTGGCCCCAAATTATGCTCAGAAACCATAAGAGATGTGATCACATCACTCAACCGTTCACTTCTCATATCAGTGATCCTTTCATTCCCCTCAGTATTCAAATTGTTAAACCATTTGCTTCCGTATAATCTTATGACCACTTCTTGGGCTACAGTAGACTCGATGGACGGCGAAGTGATTCCGCAATAATATAATTGATTACTTAAACCGCCGGTAATTCTTCGCACAGAAATCGTGTCCACTGTTTGTTGTCTCCAATTGTCTGACAAATACTCTTTGCATAACTCAAGACATCTTTCTTTGATATCTTCGGGAGTCTCTCCTCTCACGAGTTCTTCAAACCTGATATTACTTTCAGCCATCGATTTAATTCAATTCTACTTAAAATAAAAACTATTATTAATTGACAATTAAATATCCAAACAAATTATAAAACATGTGTTTATAAATGAAATTGCATTTTACTATTTATAAAGTGATTGTGATTACGAAATATAGTATCTCATCGTTAATGTTTCGTTTAACTCATATTTCCATAATGTTTGGAAATACAGTACTTTATAAATACGATAACAATACCTGAACTTATACTGTATTATAATTTACTGTAGATTATAATTACAATCATTGTTTAATTTAAGTAGCATTTATAGAAAAGTGTTGCTCGAAGTCTAGTTTGTGATTATAAACGAGATTACTTAATTCACATTATTAAAATTGATTACAAGAAGATCCAAGGTTCTTTAGTGCAAAAATTTAATAACGAAAAGCATTTAACCATGAGGTTTTTATTTAACTTGGAAAATATAATAGTATGTATGATGGTTGTATGATAAGTATTGAAACTTTGAATTAATGTACTGTATAAAGGTAATATTAATTTAATAAATCACCTATGGAGTTTTAGAATGGTATAGCATTTTAATGTACGCTAACGTTGTAAGAATACAATTAAACCAAACGCAAAGTTAAGAGATCAACTAAAATACTGTATAATGTTTGTAATAGAAGTATAAAATAAATATTTAAATGTTTAAAATATTATCACTAAATCTTCCAATTTTATTTACTCAAATTGATCAATGTTACTATTATTAAATAAATATTGTACTATTTTTATTATTCAAATTTAATCGTGTATTTTAATAGAATTTTATTAAAATGCATTTAATTATTAAAATTAATTTATGGATCAATCAAATAGTAAGTCATTTGCAAATTGATTTTTCAAGCGATAGTAATTCTTCAAATCAGTGTCACCATAATGCTGCAATTAAATAAATTAGATATAAGTACAAAGTGTCACTTAAAACATGTTAATCTTAATTGTAAAATATAATTGCCAATTAAATTAAATAAATCTAAAAAGATAAACTAAAATTTAAAATTGTAAAATAATACAAACCATTAATTGTTGTTTAGTCATAGGAAAGTCGTCGACTCTGTCATCAGTTTTCAAACCAAATAAAATTACAAACATTTTAAACGCCAAAGAAAATACTTTTGCTTCTCTCATAAGCTGATCTATTGAATTGTTCTCATTCTGAGACCAATTCTTGCCATAAATCATCTCATTTTCGCAGATATAGTGTTGTAGTAATTGTTTGGCAACAGAGTCGGGGGTAAAGGTTTGGTCGTGAGTGATGTGACCACTTTCTCGACCCCATTCCTCAATAATAGTCCCCAAATCCATGCCTCGGTTGCCATAACTCGAGTATTCGTAGTCACAGATAACCAACTGATCCCCGGAATCGGTCTCTTTGTTTAACAACATTATATTATAGCACTTAAAGTCATTGTGAGAATAGACTATCGGACTCTTGGTTTTAATGATAATATTCTTTAACCATTGAATCTCAGACCACAAATCGTTTGCTTTGAATGTTTCACAATTGTATTTATCAAACAATTCTTCAAATGAAAACCTTTCGGACGCCTCCTTATAGTGGAGTTCAATCTCTTTAACAATGATTTCACTCTTAGGAAGAGGCACTTCCAGGGCGTGGATTTGAGCCAACTTTCGGAATAATTCCTTCACTAGTTTGGGATTAGTTTGTTCTGTGAGTATAAATTTGTCGACCTAGGTGTAATGTAAAATTAATTTTTATAAACAATACAGGTAAATTTATATAATATATAAATTAAAAATTATATTACATGGTAAAATTGTTGAATCTGTCCGCTATCAAAGAGTCCGTATATTTTTGGTCCCAAATTTTTCTCAGACACCATAAGAGAGATGATTACATCACTCAGTCTTTCACTGTTCATATCAGTGATTCTTTTACTCCCATCTCTGTTCATATTATTCCACCACTTTTTTCCGTATAATCTTATGACCACTTCTTGGGCTACAGTAGACTCGATGGACGGCGAAGTAATTCCGCAATAATATAATTGATTACTTCTTCCGCCAGTAATTCTTCGCACAGAAATCGTGTCCACTGTTTGTTGTCTCCAATTGTCTGCCAAATACTCTTTGCATAACTCAAGACATCTTTCGTTGATATCTTCGGGAGTCTCTCCTCTCACGAGTAAATCAATATTTACTTCGTTTTCTGCCATCGATTTAAAGTGGTTTTTATCTTATATTTTAATATTAATAAATTGTTAAATGATTTAAATTTAATATTGCATACACTATGAAAAATAATGTATACAAACACTAACATGTGTTTAAAATATATGCCTTTTTATATTGTTATGAAACCGGTTTTCATCACTACTCATGTCCACAATATTATGAAATACTGTACCGTAAGTGACGTAATGTTACATAATATACGTCTACTGTAATAACGTTAATATAACGTATCGAATACACTATAGTATGCTATACCTGTATATATTGCATAACAATTATTATTATATTGGATACTCATAAGTAAAGTTTATTAAATAAAGTTACAATACATTACACTTTATTGTATAAATTCATTTTATACTACTATACAATTAGTAAATGATAATTATCAATTACCTTCACTTATAGTGAGGTTAGAGTTTTAACCATTTCAATGTCATTCCAATAAAATTGAGGTATAGGGAGATATAGGGAAAGCAAGAATGTGCTTACAGAATAATCAAATTTAAAAGTAAATTTGGCATTAATTATGCAAAGATATATAAATAATATTTAATTCTTTGTGCACATGTAAAAATGTAAAATGTGAAAAATGAAACAATATTTGTGTAGCTCTTAAATATCATAATTTTTTACAGAATATATGATTTAGCAAATAAAATTAAACTATTTGCATAGCTTAAAAACAAAAGTAAATAATGTTAGCACTAGAAGTATAATAAATATTTGTTATTATTAATTAAAACAACATTGTTAAATCTGTCAGTTTTATTTACTAACATTATTAATCTATATTATTAAATCATTTATAAATTGTAGTCTTTTAATTATTTAAGTTTTATGTAATTTTATTAGTCAATCAAATATTAAGTCATTTGCAAATTGATTCTTCAAACGATAGTAATTCTTGAAAAGACTTTCACCAAAATTCTGAAATAATATAAATATAATATAATTAAAAATTACTCAAAATATGTTATTATCTAATAGATAATGGTATTGAGTATAACATAAAATAGCTAATAAATAAAATTGCCGGTAATTAAAATAATTATATATTAAACATTAAAATTATTAAAATAATACAAACCATTAATTGTTGTTTATTCATAGGAAAGTCATCGACTGTGTCGTCAGTTTTCAAACAAAATAACAGTACAAATATTTTATGCGCCAAAGAATATACTTTTGCTTCTCTCAAGAGCTGATCCATTGAATTGTTCTCATTCTGAGACCAACTCTCGCCATAAATGATCTCATTTTCATTGATATAAAGTTGAAGCAATTGTTTGACAACAGAGTCGGCGGCAAAGGTTTCGTCAGACATGATGTCATTGCCTTCTCGACCCCATTCGCCGATAACATGTCCCAAATCCATGCCTCGGTTCGCATAACTCGCGTATTCGTAGTCACAGATAACCAACTGATCCCCGGAATCGCTCTCTTCGTTCAAAACCATTATATTACTGCTCCAAAAGTCGTTGTGCGAGAAGACTATCGGACTCTTGGTTTTAGTGATCATATTCTTTAACCATTGAATCTCAACACTCAAGTCGTTTGCTTTGAATGTTTCGCAATTGTATTTATCAAACAATTCTTCAAATGAAAACCTTTCGGACGCCTCCTTATAGTGGAGATCAATCTCTTTGATAATGATTTCGCTCTTAGGAAGAGGCACTTCCAGGGCGTGGATTTGAGCCAACTTTCGAAACAATTCCTTCACTAGTTTGGGATTATTCTGCTCTTTCATTGTAAACTTTCCGACCTTATTATAATAAATAAATTTAGTATATCAAATAAAACATAATTGCATTTAATTATATGAATTACATGATAAAAGTGCTGAATCTGTCCGCCATCGAAGAGTCCGTATAATTTTGGTCCCAAATTTTTCTCAGAGACCATAAGAGAGATGATTACATCATTCAGCCTTTCACTTTTCATATCAGTGACTCTTCCGCTCCCATCTCTGTTCATATTATTCCACCACTTGTTTCCATACAATCTTATGGCCACTTCTTGAGGAGCAGTTGACTCGATGGACGGCGAAGTGATTCCGCAGTAATATAATTGATTACTCCTTCCGCCGGTAATTCTTCGCACAGAAATCGTATCCACAGTTTGTTGTCTCCAATTGTCTGATAAATACTCTTTGCATAACTCAAGACATCTTTCTTTGATATCTTCGGGAGTCTCTCCTCTGACCAATAAATCAATATTTACTTGACTTTCAGCCATAATGTTAAATAAAATTTAAATTAATTATTAAATGATTTAAATTAAATACAATATGACTACACAATGAAAAAACAATGTTTAGTAAAATGTGTACAAACACTGTATAACAAGTGATTTAACTATTGTTTGCCCTTTTTATTCAATTCGATAAGTGTATATAAAACCAGTTTTTTAATCAATATCATCAGGTACAGACTGAACAGTACAGTATGTTTACAATGTTATGAAATACGTTAATGACGTAAATATATTAAAATAACGTTAATATATCGTATCATAAATGTATTTATTATGTAACTTAAACTATTTTACATAAAATTGCATTAAACAGTATTGGAAACTTACAATTAAAACTTGTAGCAAATATTCTGTTATATTATATTTTATAAGATTATGAAACTTGAATAAATTACCGGTACATTACATTTGACTGCATTAATTTGTTAAATATCAATATAACTAATAATAATTATTTTAAATTACATTCACTAATAGCTAGTTTTGTAAGATTTGTTTTAACAATTTCAATGTTCTTTTAATGAAATCAAAATAATTTTGAATGTCATATAAAATGTTATATAAAAACATTAAAACTCAATCTTCAGACAACAAACATTTGCATATTTGATACCATTATAAATACCATTTGTACGGCTAATACAATTAAAAATAAATCGATTGCAAAACATTGCAAAAATAGATCAACAGTATCTATTTAAATTATAAATAGTTTTCAAAATAGCATTCGCCTAAAACTATTTAATTTGATTATGATCGCAAACTTATTCACTTTTAATTTAAGCAAAATATACGTTAAAAGCCTAAGGAATACCAATTGACCGACCAATAGATGCCTTTGTTTATCAAAATCGGCATCAATTAAATTAAAGCGATATAATATATACGAGATGTGTCCGGACGGACACCGGTCGGAGCCATTAAACCAAATCTGTATATAACCCATAGCGGCGGCAAACATATCCAGTTGTGATATATGTAATAGAAATGTGTTTAATTCATTCACCATGATCACCATATTACAGAATGACAAAACTACTGGGATGAGCAAAATGCTCATTAAAACCCCATTGTCTTCAAAACAAATGCCACAGATATGGCCCAAACTCTGGAAAGACAGACTACATAAGCCGATCGCCAATAATAGTGACCAATAGGTGTGCTCTTTGTTATAGTCGTCGATCACTAATACAGCTGTCATTACTATTATAGTTAATGGTATGAAATCCATCACTGATTTGACCACAAAGAATGACTCTGTGCTGTACCAGACTATGGTTGAAAATATTACACATTTAATGTTACAGATTTGATAATTTAAACATAAAATAAAATAAAATCTTGAAAGAGTATATTATTTGTAATGACAAAAAACACATTAACCGATAAAAGTGTTTTAAATATAAATGTTTGTTAGAATACACTTTTCACTGTTAAGCCATAATACTATTTGAAAACTTTGTTTTAAATTAAATTAGTTTTTCGACAGACAATTGTCTATCAATTATACTCACAATTTCTGTATTCAGACATAAATAGCTTTATTTCTGTTGACATTTTCATTGCGCTTACGATTAAATGGTAGAAGAATTGAGAGCCGATTATAAAAACGCAAAACTGAATGTTATATTGAGTTAGTTTCAGATCTTCCAAGTCTTGTGCTGTTTGTCGGCACCCATTGGATCCGTTGACAGCAATCGGTACACAACCAGACAAATGGTTAAAATCAAAATCAAATATTAACGTTATTATGTATGTAAACATTAACATCACTATAATTTCTGCCATTAATTGCTTCCAGAGATATGCGAAGATATTAGTGAGGGATCTATTATACAGATGGTATGTATTGATGATAGAAAATGATTTGCTTTTAATTGAAATGCCGTTTGAATGCAATTTCAATTGACTCTCAAGTCGTCGACAGTTATATCCTATGTTTTCATTTGTTTTGTCCGACAATTCAATGACTGACTGATCAGTAAAGCCTTTGGCGGCCATCTTCATGAGTACCTCAATGGGGATCTGTTCCCTATTGTATGTGATATTACATTGTTGTAAATGTAAGGACAGGTGTTTCGGTGGCCCGGAGTATACGGTGAGCCCTCCTTTGGCTAAAACATACAGTGAATCGAAAAGCATTAGTATTTCGAGGTTTGGCTGATGTATGGATGTTATGATTGTTAAGCCATGTCTTTGAGACAACTTTTTAAAGCACTTTATCATCTAATAAACAAATTATTAAATCAATTAATGAATAATTAAATTTATAAATGAAAACACAGTATTACTAAAAGCGCTGAATAGCTGTCGACACCACTCGTGGGTTCGTCAACACAAATGAGATTAGGTTTGATGTCTGGCGTCAACTCCATTGCCATCACAATCCGCTTCTGTTGACCGGAACTGCATTTCTCCACATTTACACCCATTATGTCAGTTATGGCCAACTCTTCCATCAATTCTAATACATTCTTCTCGTGGTTTATATCACTTCCGGAACTGTTCTTCAGTTTTGACGCATAAATGAGTGACTGTTTGACAGATAATCCAGTGATGAGATGTTCCCTCTGGTCCTGAGCTATAAAGCAGGTCCTGATTGTGTGAAAAGCACTCAAATATATCTTTGACTCTTCAGTCATCAAATGTCTGTACATTCCGTTCAATGAACGCAAGAGTGATGTCTTTCCCGCACCCGACGGACCCATCAATGCGTTCAGTGAATTGAATTCAAACAATCCGTTAACACCTCTTAGGATCAGCTTTTCTGATGAATACAGAGTTTTATCCACTTTTAGTGTCAAATCAATCCACGCTATACTCAGATATCCATTGTATTCATTGCCACATAAAGAGTGATATTGAGAGTCAATGGACACATCACTCATATCGTCATCGCTATCATTGGTATTTGAATTATATCCAACCTCTGGGACTATAGCCGATATGGTCTGCATTTCAATCCGATTAGTATTATAATTACAGCTATTATTTTGGCTGAATTGAATCAATTTAAGTTTTTCCATTAAAATATAAAACCAATTGGTATTCATTTGACACATCAATACAATGAATGCAAAAACTCTATAAATAATTAACTGAATCCATAAATAGTTGGTATATTTCCAATAGAGATTGTCATCATTGATATGCTTTTCGTACAATTGTTTAGAGAACTGTTGGTCAGGACAGCGGCCGAAGCCATAGATGGCCACAAAAATAGCATTCGAAGTGAATTTCAATTGTGAGGTATTGCTTAAAAACTGGAAGATGTCAGACATGTCCTCCAAAACAATGAAAAGACTGCAAAAAATGCCGTTATATAGGGTTATATTTGAGGCGACCATAAATGCCAACTGCCGATGTCGGTAAAATAAGGCCACAACCAAATATGCCATACCCTGTGTGCTGTGCAAACACAACTGCAAGGCGTATAAAAACATACGAAATCGGGTGCCGTCTGAGTGTTGATCAGTGATAAAAAACATTAAGGTTGTCATCAAACTCACACATAGATAGGTCGGTATTAACTCCAACAGGTTTTGGGTGATTACGAAAACAGTCGTACTGTACCAACCTTTTCAAAATAAATAGCAATTTCCAATTTAAATTACTTGTTTGTTTAGTGTTGATTATAATATAAGATTTTGTATAAAATTATATGATGATAATTTATTAAACGCATATAATTTTAATTTAAATATAAATCACTCAACTATTATGGTGTTCGTTGACAAAGACCATCATTTTGGCGATCATATCACCAGTGGTTTGATTAATAAGAATCAGTTGTGAGACCCAAACAGCGAATGTTATGAAACCAACATTTCTATTGATTTGATAGTCGCGGTCTAATATCTCCAGACAAGTCTCGTTGGTCTGAACGCCTACTCCTGTTATACAGTCGCTGTATTGACCGATACCTGAGCCCGACATGAGTGCCATTGCGGTCGCACTCAACACAAGGACTGTCATATTCAACAGATATGTCCGCCACTGATAGGAATAAAACTCTGTAATCCATCGCTGGGTTAATATTATCACATCTTTTATCATAAATCGTTTACTTCTTTGTTGTATTTGTTTATTAATTGTTTCATTAATTCTGTTTGGAATTAATTGATTGACGGCTTGTATTGTCTTTTCCCTCAACTGAAGCACATCTGTGTCTTCCATACCTTTGGATGCAATGGTCAACAAGTGTTCGATCGGCACCTGATTCTCATTGCAGACAATGTTGGATGAGCTCAAGTGATGCCGTAAATGGACGGGTGGGCCGAAGTATACACACTGTCCTCCCTTTGCCAATACATACAGATTGTCAAACATTTGCAATACGTCTGAGTTTGGCTGATGTATAGTCGCTATAATGCATATGTTGTGCTTTTGAGCCAAACTTTTTATACATTCAATTACCTGTTGTTTAAATAGTAAATGAATGTTCAAAAACGTATAGTAATTTTTATTTCAATTACTATTAATAATTATGGTAACAATACTGACCACTTCAGCGACATTGCTGTCGAGACCAGTGGTCGGCTCATCAAATAATATGAGGTTTGGTTTATAACATGCCGTCAACTCGACAGCAATGGCCAGTCGTTTCTGTTCACCACCACTGCATCGGTCGGCCCGAGTGTTCATTGTGTCGCTCATCAATAGGTCGGCCATTATTGCCGACACATTCATCTGGTGGTCGAATGTCTGTCCTTCAGGTCCTAAACCACTGTTTTTCAGTCTCGAGGCGTAAATCATGTTTTGTTTAGCCGTTAATCCCATTATTAGAAAGTCTTTCTCGTTGTGTCCGATAAAAGCGGATCTGATTTTGTGGTCACGACTCAAACGAATCCGTGTTTCGGCGCCTAATCTCCTGGTATTCATACCATTCAAACACATCAACAGTGATGTGAGTCCCGCACCCGACGGACCCATAACTCCTGTCAAACATCCAAACTCTCCAAAACCCGAAACACTATTCAAAATCACTTTCTCTTCTCTAGTGATCAATGATTTTATTTTAAGACTTAAATCAATCCAAAGAATCGCTGTCTTCTCTTCACTCGAAGACATTGTAATAATTGGTTTTATAATAACATCCAATTTACCACTATATAAATTACTGAATAACAAGTAGGCAAATAACAAATAAAATAACAAATTTATATTTTAAAATTATACTAAAATACTTAAATATTATAAATTGTGGATTTATTTAAAAATATTTTTTATAATTAATCATAATGTTGACATATGTTAATTTAAATATCAAATTACATTAGTTATTACAATTATAGAAAATCAATTTAATTAATTAAATGTTTAATCATTTATTAATAGTTTCTTCAAATCATAATAATTAATCAATTGATGTTCGGCTAAAATCTGTAATAAAACAAAAACCAGTCACCGGGATTAATTTATAACATTTGTCTATTGCAATCTTTATAATAATAATCTATATTAAATCATAATTGTAATTAATAATTATATAAATGATTATTTATTAATTTTATATTTAAAATAAAATAATACTGACCATCAATTGTTGTTTATTCATAGGAAAGTTGTCTAACGTTTCATCAGTTTTCAACCAAAACAAAGTTATCATCATTTTTCTCAACAATGAAAATACTTTTGCTTCTCTCAAGAGCTGATCCATTGAATTGTTCTCATTCTGAGACCAACTCTCGCCAAAAATTATTTCATTTTCTTTGATATAAAATTGAAGTAATTGTTTGATTACAGAATTGGAGGGAAACTTTAGTTCATATATTATTTCGGTGCCCACTCGACCCCAATCGCCCAAAAGTGTCCCAAAATCATAGCCTCTGTAATCATAACCTGAGTATTCAAAGTCACAGATAACTAACTGATCGCCGGAATCGGTCTCTTTGTTTAAGACCATTATATTAGGGCTCCACAAGTCGTTGTGCGAGAAGACTAACGGACTTTTGACTTTATAAACGCTTTCTTTAAGCCATTGAATCTCAACTTTCAAATCATTTTCCTTTAATGTTTTGCAATTGTATTTATCAATCAATTCATAGATTGGGAACCGTTTGAACGCTTCTTCATAGCGACGATCAATCTCTTTGAGACGCGATTGTCCTCTCGGAAGAGGCGCTTCCATGGCGTGGATTCGGGCCAACTTTCGGGACAATTCTTGCAATAGTTTTGTATTGATTTCGTCTTCAAATATGCATTTTTTGACCTGTTTTTAAATATAGTTTTAATTAAAACCCATTTTCATATTAAGAAAATGTAAAACGATAGATGTATGAAATAAAGTTACATGATAAAATTGCTGAATCTGTCCCCCATTGAAGATTCCCAACATTTTTGGCCCCAAATTGTCTTTAGAGACCATAAGTGATGTAATCGTATCATTCAATCGTTGATTTCCACCACTACTTGAATTGACACTATTTTCGGTTCCGTATAATCTTATGACCACTTCTTGGGCAACAGTAGACCCGATGGACGGCTCAGAGATTCCGCAATAATATATGCGATTATCTAAACCGCCGGTAATTCTTCGCACAGAAATCGTGTCCACTGTTTGTTGTCTCCAATTGTCTGACAAATACTCTTTGCATAACTCAAGACATCTATCTTTGATACCTTCGGGAATCTCTTCCCTCACGAGTCCATCAAATTGAATATCAGTTGCCATTTAATCAAATAAATTAGATTAAAAATTATTATAAATACAAGTTGTAATCTAAAGTATACGTAGACTTTCACACATATTTGATGACATATAAAAATGTGTAAAATTTTTGATTTTTATTTCAGATTTTATGATTTATTTAACGATTATGTGATACACGAAAACCATTAAAATTAATACACATTCTGTTTATTCATCATTTAGAATTTTGTCAGCAAGATGGCACTTCCAATAGTTACATGTAATTTTATACTGTATTAAGAATTTATTATTTATTATTATAAGAATTAAGAAATTATATTAAGAATTAAATGCTAAGTTTTCATTATATTTAATTATATATTAAGTCATTTGCAAATTGATTCTTCAAGCGATAATAATTATTGAATTGACTTTCACCAAAAATCTAGGCAAAATATAAAACAACTTTCTATAATATAATGAGGTTTAAATACTGTGTACTAAAATAACTTTATATACTGTAAATACTTTATAATAAAAATTAAAGTACACAATAATACAGACCATATATTGGTGTTTATTCATAGCTAGATTGTCAATTGTCTCGTCATTCTTCAGGCAAACGGAAAGATTCAATATTTTATTTGCCAAACGAAAACACTTTAGTTTCTCTCAAGAGCTGATCCATTGAATTGTTCTCATTCTGAGACCAACTCTCGCCAAAAATTACTTCATTTTCTTGAATGTAAAATTGAAGTAATTGTTTGACAACAGAGTCGCCGACAAATGTAAGTTCTGTCGTTATTTCGGACACATTTCTTCCCCATTCGCTAATAAGTGATCCAAAATCAATACCTCTATAGCCATAAGTCGATGATTCAAAGTCACAGATAACCAACTGATCCCCGGAATCGGTCTCTTTGTTTAAGACCATTATATTAGGGCTCCACAAGTCGTTGTGCGAGAAGACTATCGGACTATTGGTTTTCAAAATAATATATTTAAGCCATTGAATCTCAGACCACAAATCATTTTCCTTTAATGTTTTGCAATTGTAATTATTAAACAATTCTTTAAATGAAAATCTTTTAGACGCTTCCCTATGGAGACAATGAATCTGATTGAGAATCCACTCTCGCTTAGGAAGAGGCACTTCCATGGCGTGGATTCGAGCCATCTTTCGGAATAATTCTTCCACTAATTTTAAATTGTTCTGTTCATTCACTGTAAATTTTTTGACCTGGTCATGAGTAAAATTTATTTGTAAAGCAATTTAATTAAAAATATATGGTAATAAATTATGTAAAATACATGATAAAATTGTTGAATCTGTCCTTCTTTGAAGAGACCGTATATTTTTGGCCCCAAATTATGTTTAGATACCAATAGAGAAGTTATTACATCACTTAATCGCTCACTACTTATATCTGTTGTTTTCTCATATCCATTACTGTCTACAGTCTCATAAACAGCGCTTCCATACAATCTTATGGTCACTTCTTGAGGAACAGTTGACTCGATGGACGGCGAAGTGATTCCGCAATAATATAATTGATTACTTAAACCGCCGGTAATTCTTCGCACAGAAATCGTGTCCACAGTTTGTTGTCTCCAATTGTCTGACAAATACTCTTTGCATAACTCAAGACATTTTTCATTGATATTTTTAGGAGTCTCTCCTCTCACGAGTTCATCAAAATTTATAGTATTTTCACTCATCATTTGTTGTTCAAACTTTTTCAGACATTGAAATGTTTTGATAATACTTAATTTAATTATAATCTAACTTATAAATAATATTATGAATTATTAATGCTTAAATTACATGAATATGTACTTTATTGAAAAATTTATTATTGCACTTACTTTCATTTATAAACTAAAGTTTTATTTAAGTTTACTCTGTATAGTATGCACTTTGTAATTACATTAAATAATCTATTGCATAAATAAAGTTATCTAATAAAACATTTTAGTTTTTATTCAATATAATAATCAGTTAATTATAAATAAAAGTTCGCTTTTATTTAAAAGAAATTTATTGCTAGACTTAATATAATAATTATTTTAATTAATCAAATGTTAAATCATGTATAAATCGATTCTTCAAACGATAATAATTCCTGAATAGACTTTCAGCTAAAGTCTGGAAAAAATAAAACATAACTTTCTTAATAATACTTATAATTCATATTTGATCATTACACAATGTTTAAATTCATGAAAATGATATAAATTAAAAATATAATTGTATAATAATACAAACCATATATTGTTGTTTATTCATCGGTAAGCTGTCAATTGTTTCGTCATGTTTCAGGCAAATCAATAGTATTAACATTTTATTTGCCAACGAAAACACTTTGGTTTCTCTCAAGAGCTGATCCATTGAATTGTTGCTATTTTGAGACCAACTCTCGCCATAAATGATCTCATTTTCACAAATATAATGATTTAATAAATGTTTAATAACAGAATCGGCGACCACTTCCTGGTCGGCAAAGATTGCGGACAGCGGTCGACCCCATTCGCCCAAAAGGCTGCCCAAATCAATACCTCTATAGCCATAACTCGAGGATTCATAATCACAGATAACCATCTGATCCCCGGAATCGGTCTCTTTGTTTAGGACCATTATATTAGGGCTCCACAAGTCGTTGTGCGAGAAGACTATCGGACTTTTGACTTTATGGATGCTTTCTTTAAGCCATTGGATTTCAACACTCAAGTCATTTGCTTTGAATGTTTCACAATTGTATTTATGAAACAGTTCTTCAAATGAAAACCTATCGGACGCCTCCTTATAGAGCAGATTAATCTCATTGAGAATCCAATCCTTTTTAGGAAGAGGCGCTTCCATGGCGTGGATTCGAGCCATCTTTCGGAACAATTCCTCCACTAGTTTGGCATTATTTTGCTCTTGGATTGTAAATTTGTGAACCTGGTGATTATAATATTAATTATAATTAAATGAAAAATATATGCCTTTATATGAAATACATGATAAAAGTGTTGAATCTGTCCGCCATCGAAGAGTCCGTATATTTTTGGCCCCAAATTATGCTCAGAAACCATAAGAGATGTGATCACATCAATTGATCGCTCAATCCTTATATCTGTTATTCTTTCGCATCCATTGCTCTCTAAATTATTGTACACTTTTTTGCCGTATAATCTTATGGCCACTTCTTGAGGGGCAGTCGACTCGATAGACGGCGAAGTGATTCCGCAATAATATAATTGATTACTTAAACCGCCGGTAATTCTTCGCACAGAAATCGTGTCCACTGTTTGTTGTCTCCAATTGTCTGACAAATACTCTTTGCATAACTCAAGACATCTTTCTTTAATACCTTCGGGAGTCTCTCCTCTGACGAGTTCATCAAATTTTATATTATTTTCAGCCATTGATTATACTTTAATTTGAATTGAATTTTGAAAAATTATAAAATACCCAAAACACCGTCAAATATGTGTATTTATATATGAGAACAGATAATTTGTTGATAATGTTATCAAAAATATGCTGTAATATTAATTTAATATTAATAATATTTTAATAACGTTAACAAAACGTAATGTAGTTTCCAAAAGTTATTTACTGTATTACATCATCATGTTAAAATTTCGGAACAATTATATTCATTAAAAGTGGCTTTATTTATTGTAGATTTTATAAAATTTATGTGTTTGTAAAGTTATCTTGTAATATAAAATACTGATTAGATTACGGTACTTTAATATTTGTACCTTAAATAGTTAATACTAACATTACTTTATATGTCTTGTAAGTCTGTAACCAACTAACATTATAGTTATATGTTTGCGAGTTATATTTAATTGCCATTAGAATTAATCTTATCATTAAAATTAATTATTAATTGTAGATTATTATCTTAACATAGATTTTAAATATTAAAATTAAACCATTTTGTAAAACATTAATTTTATATTTATTAAATATTAGTTAATTACTGTAACTGTACATTTAATAATTTATTATAGGTATATTTTTAAAATTCCAATTAACAATGAATTTTGATACAAATATTAAAGTTAATTTGTTATTTACAAGTACTTATTGCAATTGTAATATAGTGTTCAATACAGTAAATGCAGTTAAAATGAAAGTCAATGACATTTATTAATCAAATATTAAGTCATTTACAAATTGATTCTTCAAACGATAATAATTCCTGAATAGACTTTCAGCTAAATTCTGGTAAAAATAAAATATTATATTATTTAGAAAAGAGGTCACAATTCTATGAAAGAATTTCAATATATTAATTACCGATATTTAAAATACTTTTATAATAAATACAGTAATTATTAGAGATAATATGAATACAAACCATAAATTGTTGTTTATCCATGGGCAATCTGTCAATTGTCTCGTCATTCTTTAGACAAATCAAAATTATAAACATTTTAAACGCCAACAAAAATACTTTTGTTTCTCTCAAGAGCTGATCCATTAAATTGTTCTCATTCTGAGACCAACTCTTGCCAAAAATTATTTCATTTTCACGGATATAATGTTGTAGTAATTGTTTGACAACAGAGTCGGCAACAAATGTCTGGTCGTTATGTATTTCAGACAAATCTCGACCCCATTCTCCGAAAAGACATCCAAAATCAATGCCTCGACTGCCATAAGCCGTCCATTCAAAGTCACAGATAACCAACTGATCCCCGGAATCGGTCTCTTTGTTTAACAACATTATATTAGGGCTCCACAAGTCGTTGTGCGAAAAGACTATCGGACTATTGGTTTTAGTAATCATATCTTTAAGCCATTGAATCTCAACACTCAAGTCGTTTGTTTTTAATATCTCACAATTGTATTTATTGAACAATTCTTTTAATGAAAACCTTTCGGACGCCTCCTTATAGTGAACATCAATTTTATTGAGAAGCCATTCACTCTTAGGAAGAGGCGCTTCAATGGCGTGGATTCGAGCCATCTTTCGGAACAATTCCTCCACAAGTTTAGGATTATTCTGTTCTTCAACTGTAAATTTTTGAATCTGGTAATTATAAAAATAAATTATTTGTATTTTGCAAAATTTATTAGACCATGTTAATATATTGATATAATAAAATACATGGTAATATTGTTGAATCTGTCCGCCATCGAAGAGTCCGTATATTTTTGGCCCCAAATTATTTGTGGACATTATAAAAGACGCGATCACATCATTTAAGCGCTCATTTTTTATTTCTTTTATTACTTCACATCCATTGTTGTCTACAGTCTTATAGACATCGTTGACGTATAATCTTATGGCCACTTCTTGAGGGGCAGTCGACTCGATGGACGGCGAAGTGATTCCGCAATAATATAATTGATTACTTAAACCGCCGGTAATTCTTCGCACAGAAATCGTATCCACCGTTTGTTGTCTCCAATTGTCTGACAAATACTCTTTGCATAATTGAAGACATTTTTCTTGGATATCTTCGGGAGTCTCTCCTCTCACGAGTTCATCAAATTTTACTTCAGTTTTTGCCATTAATTATAATTCTTAAAAAATTGAATTTAAACAAAATGTTTTTAAAATATACAAAACAATTTCAAACATGTGTCAATAAGTAATTTTTAAAAATTTATATGCTATACTATTTCTGATATAACGGCCGGTATACATTTGCTTTTGATGTAGAATTATGTTGTAATGCTTATTTAATATTACGCTTGTTATAACTACGTTAGTATAACGTACTTCTTAATATTTAATTACATTATGATAAGTTATATTACTGTTGCTGTACAAATATAATATGTTATAACCATCTCCACTTATGTACAGTAAATTTACAGTAATATCATTATATTATATCAATAGATAGATTATACGGTACAGTTGGTTACAGTAGATTTCACTGCTTTTATTCTACCAATATATTAAAAGTTTTAATTAATTATTTTTACAATACGGTCAATTATTCTGTGTTTTGATTTTTATTAATTCAAACAATAAAATATGAAAATTAATTGATTGTTAAAATAAAAATCAATAGTAATTTTATTTAATTAAATATTAAATCATTTACAAATTGTTTCTTTAAAAGATAGTAATTCTTGAATTGTTCATCAGCTAGATTCTAGAAAAATGAAAACAATTATTTAATAATTAAAAACTTTACCAGTATTAGTTTGTACAGTATTATCATTATACTGTATGTGCATTAGAATTGTTATATAATCAATACAAACCATTAATTGTTGTTTATTCATTGGGAAATTATCTAAATGTTCATCAATTTTTAGATAAAATAAAAGTAAAAACATTTTGTTTGCCAAACAAAACACTTTGACTTCTTTGATGAGCTGATCCATTGAATTGTTCTCATTTTGAGACCAACTCTCACCAAAAATGGTCTCATTTTCACTGATATAATAGTGTAGTAATTGTTTGACAATAGGGTCGGCAATAAATGTCTGGTCGTTGAATATCTCAAACACATCTCTACCCCATTCACCCAAAAGCGATCCAAAATCATAGCCTCTGTTACCATAACTCGAGAACTCAAAGTCACAGAAAACCAAGTGATCCCCGGAATCGGTCTCTTTGTTTAATAACATTATATTATTGCTCCACAAGTCGTTGTGCGAGAAAACTATTGGACTATTGGTTTTTGGGATAATCTCTTTAAGCCATTGAATCTCAACTTTCAAATTATTTTCCTTCAATGTTTTGCAATTGTATTTATCAATCAATTCATTGATTGGGAACCGTTTGAACGCTTCTTTATAGTGGAGATCAATCTCTTTAAGAATCCATTCTCTCTTAGGAAGAGGCGCTTCCATGGCGTGGATTTGAGCCAACTTTCTAAATAATTCCTCCACTAGTTTAGGATTATTCTGTTCTTCAACTGTAAATTTTCGGACCTTTTTATAATAAAATATTAAATTTGATTTAACAATAAATTGCAATACTATAACATAGATTACGTGGTAAAAGTGTTGAATCTGTCCGCCATCGAAGAGTCCGTATATTTTTGGCCCCAAATTATTCTCAGAGACCATAAGAGCTGTGATCACATCACTTAAACGTTCACACTTTTTATCAATTATTTTTTTATTATTTAAATTGTCAAACCATTTGTTTCCGTATAATCTTATGACCACTTCTTGGGCTACAGTAGACTCGATGGACGGCGAAGTGATTCCGCAGTAATATAATTGATTAGTCAAACCGCCAGTAATTCTTCGCACAGAAATCGTGTCAACCGTTTGTTGTCTCCAATTGTCTGACAAATACTCTTTGCATAACTCAAGACATTTGTCTTTAATTGTTTCCGGAGTCTCTCCTCTCACGAGTTCATCAAAATTTATATTATTTTCTGCCATTTAATTATTTTAGATTCTAAAACTTTGCTTAAAATTTTTACAAAATGTTATCAATATTATTATAAATTGATAACTATTATCTAGTACATTAGGTTACTCAATGTAACTGATATTCTAATATTACAAAATCAATGTAAATTATGACATAAAATTTCTAATTATACAGTTACATTGACATAATTACATAATATTACGATATTTGTTCATAAGTTATTATTTGACATTAATTAATACAGTATAATAAACGCTACAATTTATGTAAAGATTCTGACTCTCTCTCTCTCTCTCTCTCTCTCTCTCTCTCTCTCTCTCTCTCTCTCTCTCTCTCTCTCTCTC